ACATCTTACAGTTCTGGTTTCGAGGTGATACTTTATGTCTCGTTTACAGTTTGACTGTTGTTCATTTTTAAAGTGTCGAGAGTTTGAGACTTGTCTGTGGCAAACCTCATGATCTTGGGGGCTAAATCTAATTTCCAAGGCGTAAAATTATACATTTGGAAAATTTCGTTCGTGTCGGCATTGCCTTATTGAATCCAAATGTCTTCTATATCATCTTTAGTCTCACACAAAAAAAAAAGCGATTAATAATCCTGTAGCTGCAGTGATCAGAATTGATGGTATCAAAGCATTCTTATTGTCATAAAAGTATAGGCTATCATACTTTTAGACCAATTAAGCAACCTTCAGTCGGTTTTAGATAGATGCTTTGGGTTTTGGAATTGGAACTGAACTATAAATTGAAAATTAATTTTTAAGTTAATTTGGTTCAATATGACCACCTCTAGCATGAATTGTGCCTTTCAAACGGCCCTTCATTGGGCCGCAATTGGCTTTGCGGTATTTTAATCCATTCTTAGCTTAGCGCTTGCTTCAGCCGATCGACATATTGGTATTTTTTAGTGTCAACCTTACTTTTTGAAATACCCCAGACCGGGAAATCTGAAGGGTTTTTATCAGGTGAACACGGTGGCCACTGTGTGGATAGAATAAAGCACGGAACGTTGTTTTCCAGCCATTCTTGGTTGACGTTTTGTGCGCTGGTGCTAAGTAATGTTGACGTAGAATGACCATCTGCCGGTCATTCTCCTTTGCCATTTGATTGCAGCTACGGCGTGGGCTTGGCTCAATTCGTTTCTTTACTTTACGAATCATTTCTGGTGTTGGTAGAGTTTTTTTGGTCAACTTCCTGATCGCCGGCGACGCTACCAGTATTATGATATCGATCTATGGTACGAGATATAAATGGTTTGTTCACATTTAGGTGTTGGGGGGAGTATTGTTTTTAATACTCATTTTCGTGTCCCATAGAGGCTAAAGAGTTTGAAGTTTTAAATTATATGCAATGCTAGTCTACCTTATCTGCTCACTCTACAAAGATTTTTTTTTGATATTTAATTTAACAACTCTCAATGGAAGAGTTGTTTAACCGCGGTTTTCTTGCGCATTGATTTCTTTTCCTGGTAATATGTTAAAATAAATATGGCTTTTATTTTTTCAGACATATGGTCTTAATATGATGTCATATTGTTAAAATATGACATCATATTATCTGTGTGTGTTTATAAATTGTTTGTTATAAGTGTCGTTCGTTGATGTATGTGCAATCAATATATAAAGTACATATACTATATATACTATATATTATATATATTATATACAGATACAATACTAGTTGGCATTTATCAATGTAAAAAGTAACCTAAAACTTTGGTTTCTCGAAGCTATATCGAAATATAGTGGAGTAGAGTAAGTTGTTAAAAATTGCTGACTCTACTAAAATCACTTGGCAGATCGGCATGATCGATACGTTCGAATCGCGCCCATGACTTTAATCATGACGAAAAAAAAACCAGCTTGTAATATGCAATAATACTGTAGATTCTAAGTTGCAATGAACCTCATATATATATAATATTCGTAAACATGAACTATAATAAAATATACTCTTTAATATCGAAATTTGCTCGTAAAATGCGTTCGAAGGGTCTTGACATTATTTGTTTTATTAAACCGACAATCTAGTGTATTTAAAGAATATTTTATTGGAAGTAAACCGAAAAAACGCGACTTCAAATATTTATCAATAGTTGTTTACGCTGCATCTTTGGAGTCTTCTGGCGTAACATACGCATACGCAACACCAAATTATGGTTTAGAACTAAACAGATCCCAATAATTGAAGAAATGATGGCACGGAAATATGATGGAGTCGGTCATATTCTACGAAAAACTGCAGATGATATCACTAAACAAGTACTGGATTATAACCCATAAGGCTTTAGAAAACCCGGACGCCCGCGTAGCATATGGATGAAACAGTTTGGAACAGAGCTACGATGTCACGGAAAAAGTTAGAGTGAAGTTAAAATTATGGCGTTAAATATAAACCAATAATGGAGTTAAAGGATTAAATATAAAAATATGAAAGGAAAAAATAACAAAAAAAGGAAAACAACAATATTTTATCTATAGTAAAACCCGAAATCGAACTAATATATTTTCTTTTAATTAAATTGGAACGAAAATATTTCTGGCTTCATGTTTTTCTTTCCTGTTTTATTAAAAGAATATTTCCATTTTTTTTCATTTAATGCATATATTGTACTAGAATTTTTTGTGTATCAAGAAATTAAAGCTTCATAACCTCTTGACATTAAGTAAAACTCTTGGATTAGAATACTCTGCCATAAGAGACAAATTGTCTCCTCTGAATTAAATAATTCTGTTATTTATGGGTTCTTTCATGAGAGTGCCACTTAGTTTAAGCGTGATGCAGACTATCATTCTTGAATGTCATTCATAGATTTTCTTTCTTGAATAACACTCAAATATGGTAGCCTGCACCTTTACTAACACACATACAGCGTGCGAAACACACTTACAGCGTGCGTAAACATCCTTATTCTTTAAAAATTTTGCTTGAATGACAACTGTTGTATGTGAGTATATTCAAGTTCGGTCGCTAGGTTGGAGTGGCTACCTTATACACCATAGCCCACGTGAGCACAAATAAGGTTTCAACGGACCCTTACCACGGATAGGAGTGTGGCTCTATATGAATGAATACAACTTCACTTTATTTTGTTTTGGTTTGGAATATATAGAATTCCACAAAATGATGGGTAGAAATATGAAATAGATGATATTTATTATTTTTATTGAACCGTTGCGTTAAACACTCTGTCTGGATCTCTCAATTCGGCTATGTATGGCTTCTTTCGTGGAAATGTCACTTAGTTTAGGTTAGGTTGGAGTGGCTGCTTTGCACATTAGAGTCCAATTGAGCAGAAATCAGGTCACGTTGTGATAATACGACGGAAATGTCAATTTATATGAATGAATTATGAAGGAAACACTGTTTTGTTTTTGTTAGGAATATGTAGGATTCTAAAAAATTAGAGATGTTCCATTTTTAGTTAACCATTGATTTGTTACGAGTCTATAAAGTAAACATAAAAATTAACCGGAAATAAAAAAATATATTTAAATGTAAGTATTGCTAATAAATATCTATTTTATTTTATATCACAGAAAATTTGGTGATTTATATCTAAGTAAGTAAGACTAACATTTGTTGACCGCTTTTATTATTTACTAAAGTTATGTATGTGGGTAGGAATAGATTTAGAAAAAAATATTTAAAATATAGATAGTCCAGAAGAGAGTATAACAATAGGACATATAGAAAATCTTCTATGTCTTTTTATTAACGTAAGTCATAATGTAACGCATAAAGTGTGTTGAAGTACCCAAGAATGGGTTTATACACTACTACCTAGTAATGTAGCACTTTCGAAGTATATCATATTCGAATTATTTCTTTCTGATGGTCAGTTACCATCATTTGAAGCTCTGTTATTAGGACGGACATAGTGGAACAAAATTTCATAAGCAGACTGATTTCTGGACTGATACTGGTGGTTGTTATACATAGAAATATATAGTTGCTCGAGCAACTTCTGGTACTTCTATTCTCCTTGCTTATGCAGTTTTTAGATTTAGATTTAAAACATTGAGCTTAATGAGAAAAGCGGTTTAAATTTACAAACTTTTATTAATTTTTTATATATATATATTTATATATATCTATATATATTTTGTTAAATTTGTTGATTTTTTAGTTTTAAAACATTCTGTATGAATACTAAAATTTGTTATTAATATTTATTTATAATTAATATTATTTACTGATCGCTTTGTATGCGTTTCACATCTGTTTTAACTATACGGGCATATATATGTATATGTATGTAGTTATGTTTATCTGTCGATGCCTGTAGTTTTGCTGTGTTGTTATGTTTTACAAGATTGCACTTTCAAAACAATATTTAGGTTCTTATGTTCATTAATGATCAATCAATCCTACTTATAAATGTATGATATCTATATTCCTCTATATAAATTAAGTCACTTATATTTTAAATTTTATAAAAGGAAAACTTGAAAAATTTTAAATTAACAATAATTTTGAGACTTTCTTAAATACTTGAAATACTTTTTTAATTTCCATTTTACATTTGTGTTTAAAAAAATTTGTTAGTTTTCATTCTCATCTCTACTTTCTTATTAACATTAAATAATACACTGCAGCGATTTATGTATTTATTTAAAAAATTACGAATTTAAGTCAATGCAATATATATATTATTTATAAATATTACTTCTTTAAGTATTTCTTTAACTGAGGACTTAAATGAATTTCAGTGAACAGTGCCATTTGTCTTATATTTTAATTTTACAAATTTTTTATATATTATATTATATATATATTTTTTTTAATTATTATATTATTATAATTATTATTATTATTATTATTATTATGAGGGGAGATATAGCACTGCCATCTTAAGAACTATTGTGCCATCTTCATGGAAATTTTTTACATATACACATTATTTATTTATGGATTTTAAGCCAGTCTCTATCAAAGATCGTTTGCTTCGCAGTTTGAAATTGAAACTATCGCAGCAGCAAAGTTAAATTATAAAGAAAAATAGTTTAAAAATTAGAAATTCCCTATTATTTTAGTACTTAAACTCATTTGGTTTCATTTAAAACTTTACAGCTAATTTCATTTATAAATTTATATACAATATTATTTTCATACACATAACTAATAAAATTATTTAAGAACTTTTTAAGTGACTGAGCATTAGCTTTTCATTTAATATATTATTATTAGTAAACTCCTTTCGCTAGAAAATACTTTTAAGTAAGAGATTTGAAAATAATTAATTCAAAATTAATATATCATATATCATATACATATATGAAATCGCATTAAATGAAACAAAAAAAAAAAAAATAAAATTATAAGTATATATATATATATATATATACGAAATATGACATTGCCTGCACCCTTTACATGTGTGAGTCTCAAAAGAATTGCAGTCAATGATCTACCTATGTTACTGACTGTCATTCTCTTCGAGTTTAGAATTAGACAGGCTACCCACATTGTATGTCTCTTACATGAGCTTCTCTGTAAAGATGTTGCCATGTTTTTTGAGCAATTATTCTTTGCACCTGCCATTTTGATGCGGGTCTCTACGTTTATGTAGTTGTTGTTGTTGTTGTTGTTGCTTTTTTAGTCAAGACAATATATGTGATTAAAGGTCACTTCTCTAGCATTTTCCACAACAGTTCTGTTCTGTAATCGTTTGGAATGATACACAAATGCTGTTACTTTTATTTGTGGTGGGATTCAGCACGGCATCAATGTTGTTGTTGCTGTTGTTGCTGTTGTCGCTTGATTACTTGATTAAACGACCAATACTGATAAATAACTAATATTAATGAAATCGAAAGATACCGTATGCATGCATATATGGAACTGGCTATGCAATTGATGAATATTGTAAGGATATTGTTATAGCAGCTAACATAATTGATGTGGAGCAACAAAAGAGGCAATTAGATTCGATTGTAATTGAGTTCCTATGGACTGCCTTGCATACTGTCATCGCTTTCTAGGTATGTAACATATGAATCTGTGCTATCCGGATGATGATGTGAGGTTATACCGGAATCCATACTGCCGGTATGTGGTCCAGGCGGCGGTTGGTGTGGTCCTTGCTGTAGTTGTTGATGTGATGGCAACGGTGGCATGCCATTTAAGTCATAACCATGCATCTGACATAAATTAAATTGTTTAAATAAAATTTATTAAAAAAATTATTACAAATTTTTATGCTCACTTGGTTCACAAGTTGCTGAAAAGCTGGCGTATGTGTGTTGATCGCTCCATTGCTATCTAAATCTGCATGCAATGCAAAGTCAGATAATGCCTTCCATGGTGGCTGATATGTTTGAACATCTATGCCTTGCAAATTAAGCGGGGAATCATGTCTGACTGGAGAACTAGCTATCATGGGGATACCTTGCATAGCACCATAACCCATCTTTCGTCCTTCCTGAAAAGCGTATTATTTTCATAGAAATCAAATATTTAAAATTTACAATGCTGCATTTATTCTACCTTTTCTTGTTGCATTTGTAGTTTCATTTGTATTGTTTTCTTCTTATCTTTACAACGTTTATTTTGAAACCAAACTCGTATAACTCGCGGTGACAGACCAGTCATTTCAACAAGTTGCTCTTTCATTAGAGCGTCAGGTCGCGGATTAGCATTATAGCAGGTTCTGTACATGCAAACATATTTTATTATTATAGCATATTAAATATAGTAAAGTTATTATGTAGTAGTCAAACCTTAAAGTATGCAGTTGTTTCTCATTTAAAACCGTTCGCACCCTTGTCGGCTTACCATCTGAAGGACCTGATGGTCTTTTCTCTCTAATACTTTTATGTGAACCGGATTCACTGCCAGAGTCTGAAAGATAAGTAAAGGCTGACTTACTATTTTTTCTTTTAAGCAAAATAAATTATTAAAATTCATTTCATAACATTAAAATCTAATTATTTTTTTTATCACCTATTATATTACATATTGTCTTGCCTTTTAAAGTGTGTTCACCTTTTATCTGATAGCAATATAGTTTAAAATATAGTTAAAGCAAAAACTAGTCACAGGTGAGTAATTTTATTGATTGATCATTGCTTTATGTTAGGTGGTTAGAATTGAATGGCGGCCCTGTGTCCAAGAAAGCCCACTTGAGTTCAAATAATAGCTCGTTGTGGTACCACAGAAATAACGTTGGAACGTACATAAACTAAAAGGTCAGTATATGACCAATGCCGATAGGCAACGACTTCCCCATTAGGTTCAACGACCACTGCTTTAGGTTTTAAAATATATATATATATTTATATTATATATTATATATTATATTTTCTCCACTTTACCGTATGAACACTTACAGAATTTGACAGATTTTATTTTATTTTTTATACAAGAATACACTTAGCTATACCCAGTAAAAACCGCAAATGTTAACAAAAAATAGTCCTCAATTAGGTTTTTAGATATACCCATGAGCAAACAAACATTTTTTTAATCCGGATTGTTATCGTCGATCAGTGTGTTAAAAAACTGTTCAGTTTTCTAGTCAGTATCTGAGTCCCAAGTCTAAATGAAGTAATAAAAACATTCTTCCGCGTACAGAAGAAAATATTATTAAGTAAATTAAGGCGAAGTTTTAAATACATTCTAAATACATATTACGAATATCAGAATGTAAAGAACTCGGAGAATTTCTAAAAGTAAAACTAGATAGATATTAGTATACCATACATGAATATTTATAACATACAGACTTATCTGTTTGTTGGACATTATAAGCAAATTTTAAAAGACGTTATTTCTGAAAAACTATTGTATTGCCTTTCAGTAGTTACTGTCATAACAACACTATTGGACATTCTATAGTTAGGCGGAATTAGGTGGAAAAACAAATGTAATAAGTACTGGGGATTCATATGGGTAGCCATAAAGAGTCTATTTTGCTTGGTATGTTAGTTCAATAACATGCTAGAAGTTAGAATGCCGGTACCACTTAGTTAATAGCACAGAAAAATGTTTCTAGACTATGACCAGTATAAGTAAAGCATATTGGCTTCACACAAATAGATAAAGATTTATGGATCACTAAAGTAAATTACAAAACTAAACAAAGTACTGATAAATTAGAGTTCAACCAAAAACCTATTCATCTACAGATCTTATATATTTTAAGGTAACAAAAACCTTCGCCATTCATCTCATTTTTAATGGCAATAATTGTGTACCATATTTCGTTTAAATCTTCTTCCGAAAATAACATACAAATTTTATCAGACTGCGTGTACCTTGTTACATATATGATTTTAATCTTAGCTCTCGATATTTATGTATCATCAATTGAAAAAACATTCATAATTAATGCGTGTTTCACAAGCCAATTACAAGTTGTTATCTAATTGCGGTACTTTCATCCGGAGCGAACCTTTCTACAACAATCGAAGTCTGTGTCGGCGTTTAAACGATGAAGAACGCGGCTCGTTGCATATTTTCTTTGAACATTTCCATTCTACTTTGATTGACTACCGCGAACGTAATTTTTGCTTGTAGCACACATCTTAGATAGTTAAATTGCAGTTCCATTGATATTAATCTTATCGATTGTTCAAACTGAAAGAGTGGAGAACCATACATCCATACATCCATACACTCCATACATCATTACAAAGTAGCGATGATTTCTGATAGAAAGTTTGAGGTGTTAAATAATTGTAAACTTTTTGTTTTTTGATTTAAGAAATGTTTTAGAAATTTTGCAATTATTTATTATTATTGGTAAGAAAATGGTGTCTTCTTCTTCGAATTTATTGGACATCCATATGATTATTTTAGCATGGGGTATGTTTCACAAAATCTCTTGGATTATAGGCATTTCGGTGTCATTCCTTTTACTTCATCTAATATCCTAAGTCCATTATAGTTTTTTAAACTTATTCCACAAATGTTCTAGGTGTTTAGGTGTTCTTCTTATAGATTTCACTTGATCGAAACACATAAAGTGATCTGAACCACTTGTAGCTGGTTTTCGAATATAATTATTCTGTACAATCTAGTTTTCCTGAAACACTTCATTTTTTGTCTATAATTTTAATTGGTGTTTTCTGATTCGCTACTACAATTCCTCTTGTCTATGTCTTGTTCACAAAAATGTATATTTTAACACATTTTATTATCTTATATATACAGATATATCTTAATTAAAGTCTATCCTAAGAGATGTTAATATGTTTGATCTGTTGCTTCGTTGTTTTGACATTTTATGATGTGTCCTCCCAAATTGATATTAAGGGTCAGATAATAACATGTTTTAATAAGACCCCTTAGTAAGAGATGTTAACAAGTTTAATCTATTGCTCAGTTTTATTTTTATGCAATAACTCAATATTTTATCACAGTCATTAGTCTATATATTGAAGTTTTTCTTCATGTGTCTAATAGTAGAACTGTATAAGCTGCGTATATAAAAGTTTGTTAGATTGTAGGTTCCAATTATTAATTTCTTTTCTTTTAGATTACACGAATAGTAAATAACTAAATTGGAATTGTTCCAACATCTATTCATCTATCCTAATTATTTTTTAGATTATCTTTAAACTGACCTTTGTTAGACCCTGACAGACTGTTACTCTGACTTAGACCCTGAAAAAATGAGTCTCTAACATAATCTCTATCAAAATAGCTCTTTTGGCTAACATATATCCTCTAGGAAATGACTCTCTAACATCTTTAGTATTCGTTGAGTATGCACTAAACTATGAATAATTGGCTGCATTATATATCATTTAAGTCCGATTACAGTGCTGTAAAAAGGAGATATACGCTTTACATTTCAGATATAATGATAATAATATTTTGAACAATATATGTAACGAAATCGGTTGATGAGAAATAATACTTTACAATATTTTTATTGTGAATAATTAACAAAGTCAGAATGTTGACGCTTTGAAAAGAAATATCATTCAAGTTATGACCGAATTATTACCAACTATGTACTAACTAGACATAGAGAATTATCTGAAAAGGATACTTTACGATTAGGATTTTAAACCTAATGTCAATTATATGGGTTAAAACAATATATTAATATAAGAATTTGATTGAAACCTCAATCAGAAGTGTGCTCTACTTATGTTTACATTTAGAACTATAAAATTGGTAACTAGTACTTTAATTTAGATTATTGGCAGTGGTAGCGAATTTTTTGCTGCGAACTCGCAACATACTACACATTTCGCGCCGGTTTCTGTGAGCCCTAACTTAGCATCTACACTGGAAAGTGTTCAGCAATCATTTTATGTTCGAATTTGAATACTTATTATTAATTTCGAATTTTGTCTGTGAATACGTATGAAAAAGTGAGACTGTATGCAAAAATTTCACCAAAATCTGCCCAGTGTATATCTATAAAAAATATTATTGACATATATTTATAAAAAATTTTGATATATGTTAAAGCCGTAGGGAAGTTTTTTTTTAAATTTGTTAGAGATTTTTGATTATTCCATTAATAAGAGTATATTTTTTTTTACAATCTAGACTTGTACATTTTGATGTGTGACAATCAAGCAAGTTTTTCAGTTTGATGGATTGAACCCTATGTTAATCGAATTTTTGTATTATCAAACAATTATTTAAGAAGCTGTTGATCGTCAATCCGCATTTGGACACATTAAAGTAAGAATGGAATTTATACAAATTGAACTTTAGAACCGGTAGAATTCATACTGGTGTAACAGTCACCTGTAGTAGAAGTTGCAGACTTTCTCACGAACCACTTAGACTTAGACTCTCTGTTGAAGAACAGAACATTTACAAAACTTTTTATTTATTTCTTGAAAGCAATATCAAATAAATGAGCTAAACAAAATGGCAATAGAATCAACAAGAGACGAGTAACGAGAGAAGAGTAGCGAGTAACGAGTAACGAGTAACGAGAACCAAGAAACCAGAAACGAAATAAATAAACATAATTTGAGTTAAAAAATCAAACGGAATATGATGAGGACATTTGATTGTTGATCGATTAAGCGCATGAAAAATAACAATAACAAAATCAATAGCAGCAAGAAAAATAAAAATGATGCGCACTAAGCAGTACCGAGTGCCGAGTACCACAGTGCCAGTACCACAGTGCCAGTGTTGCCGAGAGATTTCTTGAGAAATTGTCAACATTGTTGTCAGATTGTTTGCTTGCCAGTTTGCGCCGGCTTGCTTGTTCGCTTTTGTTCTATGCTTGAATGCTTGAAAGGCAGATGAGTTGTTTTGTTTGTTGTCGTTGCGACCGTAGTTGGAAGGTTGTTACGGCGGCACTTTTGAATAGGCAATGATAATACATGGAGTGCTTTTGCAAATACAAAAAATTCCTTTAATGCACTTATCCTTTTGTTTATATACATACGTATACGTTCATATGTTACGTTCATACGCAGACATGTTAACATGTACGTATTTCGTATTTCATTTCTGAGTCTATGGAGTTCTACAAGAGTATTACATATATATAAACAAATTAATTCGAAAAATAATATAAGAAAAATTGGATTTTTTTCTACATATTTTGATTTCAATTGTTTATTGTTGCCATTTAATAATGATTAAGCAAACATGCAAACACGCGCACATAAGCTCATTCAAATGCGTATACCATCAACTCCATTGATTGCGGACAGGCGTGCCGGAATATAGGTTTCCTAGATTGTCAGTGATGGCTGACACCTTCAACGTGATCGTTCGATCGATAACAGAACAAGTAGATTATGTTGCTGATATGGTTTGACATTTGTTGTTTTGCACTACATGTGCACAATCTGCCAAAAAAAAAAACTGTTAATTTCCTTTTTTTTTGGTTCTGTTCTCAAAACTATTACCTTCAGGTCTATTTTCGCTAGAGCATTGTTGTGCTATTTGAATTTAGGTTTCTGTTTTTTTTTCTGTTTCTCTTATCAATTACAAGTTGTTTCTGATCGTTTTTCTTGTTTGATTTCTAGTGTTAGTATCAGGGCAATATTTTTCTAAGAATTGCATATTTTTAAGATCATAAATTGTACCCGAAATGATGTCTTATATGAATATGCAATGAATGCAGACATTTTTAGGTGTTCACGAAATGTGAGTAAATATTGTACAATCAGCGCGTTTCCGATTTCAATTATTATATAGCTTACTATATAGCTACTTCACGACAATAGTGTAGCTAGGATAACGACAAGGGAGAATGTACTGAAAAATATTTTTTGTCAAAATTATTTCGATAAAACAATTAACTAAATAAATTATTATAACTTTTAAAGGATTATGTCCCGAAATGGGGAGATGAGAGATATACAACAATTCTTAGCAACTTTTCTCACTGGAGATGAGGGATGTATCCCTCATCTTTTCATCTTCATATTATTTATAATGGGTCACACTTAGATATAACTTACTTTTCGGCAGTAGTGCAGTTAGGATTATAAAAAAGGGAATATACAGAAAATATTTTTTGTCGAAGTTTTTTACAGTTCACTAAATATATTACAATAAAGGTTAAAGAAATGTCTGAAAAGAGTGGATATATGTTAAGAAGTGGAAAAAAACGTTTTCTTGTCAAAGTTATCCTACAGTTCACTTAATAAATGAATATAACATTTAAAGGATTTTGTCAAGAAAGGGTTAATTAGCTATGAAACACAAGCCATAGCACTTCACTCTTTAAGGTTATACACTTTTTACATTGTTTATGCCAACAAAAATTACATATGCCATCTAGCGCTAATTAATAGACACAATTTTTACATTGATTATACAAACAACGAGTAACAACAAGTACCATATATGCGTCGGATAGTCAGGTTCGCCCTTTATATAAAAAAATCTCTTTTGTTTCAAATAGAATTAATATTGTGTGGAGCCTCATTGCTCTCTAGAAAATAATATGAATAAGTATTATCTAATATTATTATTAAAAGTGAAATAAAATAAATATACACAAATAAATAGAAGTAAACGAAAGTTCTTTATATTTGTATATATTTATTTTATTTCACTTTCAATAATAATATTAGATAATACTTATTCATATTAGTTTTTAGAGAGCAATGAGGCTCCATACAATATTAATTCTATTTGAAACAAAAGACATTAAAAGAGATAGAAAGTGAACGAAAGTTTTTTAAGGTTTAACCAAATTTGCAGTATATGTGGTTACTCAAATATGTTAATGGGCACTGTGGTATTATATCAAGACTTTATTGTTGGTACCTTCTTACAAGTGGATCATGTACAAGTTACCGCGATACAAAGAAAGTGGATACTATCAGTCATTTCTTATGTCTGTACCCGGGATTACAAATGACACAGTCTAGGTGAGTGTTTCATATGCCCTATCTAGAACACCCAATGGTTTAACAAGAATCAAGACAAGTAGGAGGAAAATGACGTTATCGGGCGTTTTTGGGTGCTACTGTTTACCGGGTCTAAATATAGTATGTTTTAAATCTTAGTAACGTTTATTTGATTCATTTCACATGTAGAAATTATTTTAGTTCAACTTTAACATTGTTTAATGTTTATAGTAACGTTAGTATGTAATACACACATTGTGTTTTGCTTTAAATATTGTATTATACAACTATACAACTTTATATATTTGAGTTATGTATACATATTCTAATATGAAAACAAACTGCTAATTACTTTGTTAAGTAAATTTCATTTAATATTTTTTTTTTTTTTTGTGTGTTGATATTTGAACTCACCTGACATTGAACCCAATTCGCTTGAATGATTATTATTACTAACGTTTGTGTTGTTATTGTTATTACTTGTAATGTTGTTGTTGCTTTCTATTGATGACGATGTTAGACTATTTTGCGAGGATTTTTCTAGTACGTCGTGATCGTCTTTGCAGTATAGGGCACCTCCATCTCTCAACGCAAATTCATCACCTTAACGAAATACAATAAAACGAAACATTAATAATTAACTGAGGCATTGTAATTTTATTCAATTGTGTAGCTATCTTTAGATGTAAATTTGTTATTAGCAAAAATTTATGGACTTTAGATTTTGATTTTCACTTACCTGGTAACAGTTGCCTCGCACACGCCGAACACCGAAAACATTCAATATGAAAAATTTTTGTTTTCGCACGCATCACAAAGTCATTTTTACTGAAGGAGCTTCCGCATTTATCACATTTTGTACCGAATAATCTGTAAAAGATTTCACACCCATTACACATTATTGCTGATCAATAAACAATTCTTTTAAATATAATAAGTAATATTAAAACATATTTATCAGACCTTGGTCACAAGGCAATAGATTTTGAATTTATTTAAGTTTATAATAAAACCACAATCTTCGTTATTCATCCAAAAAATACCCAAATTTGTTAGTAATACACTACATGGATACATTAATAGCTATATCTATATTGATACTACAAGTAGACCTATTGATCAGTTTTAAGTTATAAAATTTTATTCTTACATACAGTAATAAAACTCACATTCCAGAAAATCCATAACTGTATTTAAATTTTAGATCTTATAGTTCAGGGCTGTCTAAACCAGATCTGATCGCGGGCCAACACAAATCACTATATAAATTGGAGGGCCGTAGAAACAAATATATATAAATGCTATCGAATCTTCAAACTGCTTGCATACAGTAACAAAAATCACATTCCAGAAAATCCATAACTATATTTAAATTTTAGATCATATAGTTTAGGGCTCTTCAAACCAAATGCGATCGCGGGCCAATACAAATCACTATATAAATTGGAGGGCCGTAGAAACAAATATATACAAATGCTATCGAATCTTCGAGCTGTTTGCCTACAGTAATAAAAATCACATTCCGGCAAATCCTAAACTATATTTAAATTTTAGATCATATAGTTCAGGACTGTTCAGATCAAATGTGATACGGTTATAATGTTAAATTTAGTTTTATTAATTTATCAATATATATTTATTTAAAAATAAAATAATGTGGTTTTACATGTGGTATATTAAAAATATGTCGCGGGTCTCACAAACATTAGCCGCGGACTGTGTTTTTGACAGCCCTGATATAGATTATTGACGTCACATATGACACTTAATATTGGAATTAAAACTATTTACATTTCGGAGTAAGAAGTCAAACAAAAAACACTAAAAAATTTATGTTTATAGTATATTATATCTACTTTTTTGATCTACTTTCAATCGAGAAATCTAAATTACCCAATATTAAGTTAAGCAGAAAAAACTTTGTACCACACTTCGGATTGCTTCAACATCAAAGAGATAATAAGAATTTCTATACGCGATAATATTAAAAACACTGTATTATAAAAATTATTATAGTATAGTATTAGTATAATATACAGAGTATTACTTTATTATATAGTATTATAAAAGCATACTAAAATAAAATATTCTTGCTGCACTTAGTTATTCTAGATAGCCGTGTGCGTACCCATTGATTAATATGGCCGTAAACGTATTAACGTTCGTGGGGTATTACTACTGCCCCGAAAAACATATACTAATAAAATATAGAAAGTAATTGTCTTGAGGCGCCGACACAATACTTTAGTGGGCCCCTTCTTTTAAGATCCTGATCAACTTCAAGACCACCGATTAAAATGCATTTTAAGCTTCGCCGAAGGCGATTTTAAATGCTAAGTTTTTCCAATGTACTATAACACAATAGGCCAATAGTTAAGTAGATACCCTTTAGATCACCGGTATAACCTAATCTAAGCTAATCATTTTATGTCTTGGGGATCATTTTATGTCTTTCTGTGAGTGGCATTATTTAGTCACTTTTTCTCTCTGGCTTCAAAACTGTCAATAACAAATACAAATCACAAGAAAGAATAGATGACTTTGTCTGTTATCTATTTACACATATTACTCTTATTATTATCTACTCTCTTATTTACTCTTATTTATCTAACTCAGAAAGTGAATGCAGTGTTTACTTTATGTGTTATTGGTTATGATTTTATGAAGGCATAGAAAAAAGATATAATCCGGATCGTTGATTTTCGGGACTAGAATTTGAGAAAGAAGTTTCTTGAAAATCATTGTGAAATAAGTATAGTAGGAGAGATTTTAGACTACTAAAGTCCATTAATTAAGTCGAAAAGATGGTGATTTCAAATCAAAATTTTTATTTATTAAATAAAAATCGAATAGTTCAGTTATAAATTATGTAATTTGAAATCAATAAAATTTTAGTTTTATTTTAAATGTTCGAATGTAAGTTTAAAAATAAATCTTTTTTTAAGTCATTGATAAACAGATCCCAAATTTCGCACTTTATATTTTAACACTTGTTCATGAAAATACGGCACAAGCACGTGGTATTCATAGCAAGTCCGCACAGTGGACAATCGTGGATAAAATATCTCCAAAAATTTAATTTTTATAAGGGCGAAACTGAAAATTTAAGAATTCTATTATTTAAGCGGGACGCATTTTACTGCATTCAATTATTTCACTGTGCACACAATTTTAATACATGGAGCAGAATTTGTATAATTGGTTCCCTTATAGGACTGTTTATATTCTTTTACTTTTAGATTTTAAGAGTTATAGCCATATCGATTTGATTTACTGTATGATTTACTATAATCAGAAAGCTTACGTTAGGTTAGGTTGCAGTATCGACATTGTGTCCAAAACTCACTTAGGTTCAAATAATAACCCGTTAAAGTACCACAGGTTTAGTGCCCACTAAAGGTTAGCGTGCGAGCAACGTAGAAAGGCACGATACCACTATTAGGGAAGGATGAACCAACCCAATAGTAGAGCTTGCTTTGAAATATTTTTTACAATGTAGTCTTAAGCTTGCCTAAAATTTATAAAAACTATATTTGGGTCAAATTTTATTTCGTGATTTTTTACGAAGTGTTGCTTTAGTATAAACACCGGAACCATTATAAATTTACTAGTACTGCTGGCATGCTTTTTGCTTTGTTTTCTTGATCAAATCTCCTGGTATAATTTTCCTGATATATATCTACACCACGATATCTAAGATCTTGAGCAGTTAACCAGCTGTTAAGTTGCTTATATCTAAGGATTTTATTTAGGATAGGTGTATCTTTGTGCTGGTTTCCATTACTATCATTTTGTTATATATTCCTATTTATATCTTCCTCAAAATGTTTTTTTTTTTTGACATTATACACCTCTTCTCTTAGCAGTGTCTTCTCAATCTTTTGCAAAATTTTATGATTTTCTGTTTGGGATTTTTTCATCATTAATTTTGGAATTGAATTTCATTTCAAATGAGTAGAAACTCTTGAATCATTCCTTATCGATTGATTGTTGATAAAAGTATCTGATCTTGTTAAGTTATTAATTTTGATCTATTATTCGACCATTTCATTCCACTGTGCACTACATCCAACATATGCAAACTGTATATTGCTTGTGCGAGTTTATTATTATAAATATTAATTAAAATATATTTTTTTATGAGAAATCATACATAAGAGGCTTAATTTGGATGAAGAATGAGATGAGCTAATAAGAACGCAATTTTAAAAATAAACACCAAATGAATTATTCAAATCTTTGCGCCGTTGGTTAGCGCAGTTCGACTAATTTGTCGCACAAATAAAATGCAACTCAAACGAAACTGAAATACATGAAGCATTTCGATTCATCTCTGTATATATATTATATGGGAAAGATATTTCGCGTGGAAAGGCGGCAAAAACATGCCAGTAGTCATACAGTGGCAAATGGGTAATTAATGCCGTGACCAAACAGCTGGGAAAATTTGCATCAGATTTTAAAGTCCTCCATAGTCCTAATTGTGGCTCAACGAAGTTGGATTGAAGTAGCGATGTTTTTGTTTTAATAGTCGTTTCTCAGTTAGCACTTACCTAACATAGTCTCGCTTACAATAGGTTTTGCCGTCACGAACGAAACACGTACAGCTCTCGTCCAAGAACTGCCTACATTCCTGACACTTCAGACACGCTGCATGCCACTCTAAGTCAGGTGCGACGCGCAGGATATATTGATCATGAATTTGCCCACCACAACCCACACAAAGTGATAAGCGCTGTTTTTCTGAAAAAAAAACGAAAAAAGAAATTATAATCTATTATTATATACAGTTTATGTTTTCTATAATATGTTATATAAATATGTAATATTAATTTCTAAAATATATTTTATTGGATTTAAGTGCAAACTAATAATAATACGTTTTTTTTTCTTTGTTTTATTTATTTTCCTTCGTTGCGATCTGTCACTTGAGAATAGACAATAAACAATATTTAAGCGTAAGTGACTAAATACATAATATTTTTGTGGGCTTGAATGGACTGTGTTCAGTAGCGCATCTGTCTATTGAAGTCCGTCACAGATTAAAGTTCCAGTGATGTTTGTTTGCGGAGACGTATTTACTTTCTTCCTTCTGCTATAATTCTACTAATAAAATGGTTAGGATGATATTACATACGTTTTTTCTGATTTCTGGCTTGGCTTTTTATAGCATCCCTAACTGCGGGGATATTGACGTCGCGATGTATACATTCTTTTGTCATATATCTAGGAACATATATCTTAGAACATTATTCTAAGGGTTTTTGATTGAACACGTTCGATAATCTATTATTATATACATAATAAGTGAATTAACAACTAAATATATATTTAGAGAGTATATATCTTATATAAAGGATATATCAATTAAATATAAGGTGATTTGTTTCAATATATAGTACTGGGTTATTAGAATGTAGTATGGTATCGTTACTTTGTGAAGTCACGGGTCTTAACGGAACAGAATTTTATATATTATTATATTATAATAGAGCAAATATGATAAAAAGAAAATTTACTTCCATGGCATAAACTATAATATCCTTTTTTATATATATATATACATACAAACATTTTCCTGTGGATGTGCAAAAGCAAACCAAGTTGTCTTATGCTATATGCGAAGCAATGCCAGTTCAGATGGAATGAAGAAATAATACTATATATCTCAGTAAGCAATATTTCTGCACAGATTTATTTAACAAAATCATTATTTATAATGAAGCAAAATCTTTAAATCAGTTATGTTCTCTTAGCACTATAGCACTCATTAATTATATTTTTGAAGTTAAAGCGCCAAGAAGAAGCAGTACTGCTTTTAAATTAAAATATATTTTATATATTAGTTTAATAAGTTAATTTTAATTATAAATTTTCCTTAGGATCCACACCAAATCTAATTGTGGAAAAGTGCTTTGCTTTGTAAAGAAGAAGCATTACTGCTTAAAAATTATAATATATTCTGTATATTTGATTGAGAAGATAGCTCTAATTATAAATTTTTCTTGAGATCTCTTTATCGGAAAGTTGAATCGTATATGTGGAACATGTTCTCATCATTGTGTTATATAGAAATTTTATTTTATAAGCTAAATTATAATTTATGCTCTAGAATCCGACTAAAATTGTAATTATTTACATAACAAAAATAATAATTATACGATTTAAATTGAAATTGTGCTAGTAACGTACTAGACAAGTTACGCTAGAAAGAAGTCTACATCATTTTCTCAAGCTAATCCTCTACCTAGTGTTATAGAGTTTTATAATAAATAATTACAGTTGCCTATTTTCAGAGTACACAAAAATTCAGACTCATTAAGTCTAATTCTCCATTTAATCAGTGATCCTTACATCTCTTCAAATCAAAAAACAACAGTTTATATATATTATATTATGTTTAGGAAATCAATATATTGCAGAAATGGCTATTCCTTCAGCATTATCGCAGAGAAATATTTAACTGTAGAACTCTTTACAGTATTCGTCTACAGTATTCTACAGTATACTCAGTACAAAAACTCTACAGTATTCGTCCACCTCATATTTTTGTACAAATAATCCTTCCTCATTGCTTATTCAACCACTGTAGAATGTTTTGTATTCTATATTGGATGTATTGTATGATAAAATAAGAATCCTTTTTTTTTCAAACTTTTATATTTTATAGCTGAGTTTTAGTTAATATTTTTATATTCGTTCTTGTCTCTCTGGACGATCTAAATCTACAAGTTTTCGACTTTTTTATTATTTGTTAGTAATATAGTAACAACAGAAATCTGATTTGCAACTAAATTATGACAAATTATAGAGATGAATTAAATGCTGAAGAGACATCGTTGAACTTAAATATTATAGTCCAGCATCAGATTTTTGATTAAGAAAAAAGAGAAAAATAAGAGAAGATTAAGAGAAATTAAGAGAAAAATAGCGAACCCCTGGTAAGTATAGCGATTTAAATATAAAATTATATTTAATTAATAAAATATGCAAACATTATAGTTCTTTCTGAGTTCTTGAGTACGAATAACGCAAAAGTCAATGCCCATATACTAGTAATCAAAAAATTGTCTTCTTCGATCCTACTTCTCCTACTAATTCTTCGTATATAATCGATTACCATTATGTCCATTTATAACAGTTCAACATTTTTATGGTGAAAGTATTTGGATTGCAATATGGCACTATTTAATTCTATTACACTTAGATGACATTCAGACTGGTCTAAGTCACTTCATATGGTGAAGAGTCTATACCATTAATTGATTTTCTAAATCATTTTATTTGAAATTATCAGAGTAAGACATTTGAATAAAATTTTATAACAAATTTCTTTAGAAAAGGGAATCGCTAGGAATTTTTGTAAACCAATGTTTTCTCATTTTTTGTTTTTTAGTTAATGATTTTTAATGTTTTAATAGATATATAATAGATTTGTTTATATAAAAATATTTAATTGACACCAAATCAATTATATAGGTATCTAGTGTAAGATCTCTAAGGCCCTATGCTTCTCACTAGGAGAGAAGAACAGCAGTAAGTAAGTAAATGTAGGAATGTGAGAAATATTTTCTTGGCAGATGTTTAATAATTGACTATATCCTTTATTTACAAGATCAGCCAGTTTTTATACATTTCCAAGTTTAGTGTTAAGGTCGGAAGATTTTTTGTTAAATGTGGAAATAATAATAGCTGTAAATTAATTTTTAATGTCGTTTTAGAATGGCAAATCTAGATTTGCTCTCGATCTGTCATTTTTTGTTCAAACTTTGTGGCTTAGTCAAACATATTTAGGGTAGTCCCTAAATATTGTTGTCAAATAATATAAAGTAGCTGGTAATTTTAAGATAATTTTGTTAATCTGGAAAAATAACAAAAGTATTATAAATTAATCTCAAGTGTTCTACGCTTTGGCTGAGATTAACCAATCAAAAATGAAAACTATGTTAAAAGTAAATCTCGGGTAGAATAGTTACTCTACATTTGGGAATCGAAAACAACTTTAGTGTTCGAGTATTACATTACTCTAGCAGTTTGAGTATTCTTAAATTTAAACCTTCGAAATGAACACCTTAAATGTTCAAGCTGCTCGAAGATTTTCCAAGCGATCGAACCAGAAATTTGATTTATGTTTTATTTTTTTTATTATTTTTTGTTTTATTTGTTTTGTATACGTATGTATATAATGGCAAATATTCGAGCACCATCGAGTGTTCGAACATTTTTGGAGCGGCTCAATGCGCTCGAGCCAAATATTCGAGCAGAAATATGCTCGAGCAGCAAAATGCTTGAAGCTTTGAATGCCGAAATAGTGTTCGAATCAATTCTGCAAATAGATATTTTTAAATTTTTATCGGCTAATACTAATTAGAGTTGTCAAAAGAATTCGTCAAAGCATCATTAGATAAAATTTGATACATTTAAGTTAATTGAAGATTCTGTGGAAAATTAAATAACAAAAAAAAATTATATTATTCGTTTTGATGTTGTATGTAAAATTTTTCAGACACACCTCGTACGCAAAATAATTATTTTTGGATTTAAAATGTTTAACTTTTGTTTACTGTTTGTTGGAGTTTTAAAAATTTCCTTTAATGAACGAAAAAACCGAAGAACTTGCACAGCACGTGGAAAATGCTTCAAGCAGAAGAGGGAAGTGCCGCAATTTATCCACTCCCCTATACGTGCATATGTAATGATTTTTTTTATTTCTTGCTTACGTTCTCCATAAATTGGATGAAATATTATGACAATACAAAGGAAAGAAAAGCAAAAATAAAATAACAAAACTAGAAGAAAAAGTACCATATCTGAGGAAGAGAAAAAAATTTAAGGAAATGAAAAAATATGGTATTCAACCAAAATGGCGGTTATATGTATTTGGAATGTACACCAGAATATATTCTGGTGTGTTTACTACAGCGACAGTGCAGGAGCATAGTACAAGACTATATACATTTACGATAGATGGATAGATGGGAGAAACTGTAGCGCATGTATTAAATTCATGGCAGTCTATTAAATTCGTACTACTTCACGCTTAAGTATATATAAAAGCTCAAAAAACTTTAACTAGCACACATTTTTATTTTCTTAATTTTTATTTTTTTAGTAAGATATATATATTATATTCGAACTTAATACTAGATATGGGTAAACAATTTATATGTGAGATATATTTTTAAAAATAAGATGCCAAGAACCTTGCAGATAGAATTCGCTTTAGTTAAACAATTTTATATACGATTATAGGTTTTCTTAACTAATTTTCAAATTTAAAATATAGTAAGAAAGATCAAATGAAGGTTTTTAATATCTCACAAAGGCGAATCACTAATGATATTTTTGTTATATATATGAAAGTATTATATCAGTACCCATAAAATGATTATGGACTGTAGTCGAAGTATTGGTGGAAATTATATTTAATAATTTTTGTTGAAGATTTGACGTCAGTTATGACGATAGAAACAATTTTTTTAATACAAACATTTCTAATATAATTCTTGAAAATAATTTAAAAAGTTGTGTATTATTTGAATTATTTTCGAGTTCGAAAAAAATTTCATTGTAGAAAATGAAGATTTTCTGCTCGAAAAAGAAAATTTTTGATTATATGTAAACTAATGTAATGAACCAATTAGTCCGTTTTAAAATAAAAATAATTTAAATATTTTAGTCATTAAGAAAATGAAGTATAAGAGTATAACTTATATATATATTTATAACTTATAATTTATTAA